AACCAACAGACTTCATCCTGTCTTTAATCTACAGCTGGTATTAAGGGAATGCCATGGCATTTTGAAACTTGGATACTAAGTTTTCAGCTTTGTTTGGTAACATAGTCAGCATTCCTCAGCTGAAATAAGTTCTTGGTAATGCGTGACAGGAAAACCTGATTAGCCAATAAGCAGGCAACTGTGGAAGACAACGGTAATGACACTAAATATGATGCTTATGGCTTCTTTGTTAAAAAACAAAACCTTTTTTCTCTGAATTTCAACAACAGGGAGCACAACTGATACAGTTACAAAAGGAGTGGGGAAAGATGGAGTTTCCTCCATGGATTTGTTTTCTTTGGCCAGGATTGAGTTACAGTTTCAATACCCCCCACCCCCATGATTGCCTCTCCTACTTGAAAAATGTGCATGTATTTCTTAATGATTAGTCACGCTACCCAGAAAGAGCAAGCAAGTTCACCTCATTGTGAGCCAGTGAGCGAGGCACACATCTAAAACGTTTAGCACTTAATGCCGTTCACCTTAATGCCTCAGTGAGTGATTGACTGGTTGATTTGCGTTTCACAAATTTCAAAGTGCAACAGGTGGTGATGACATACTTCTTCTATGTGTTTGTTTACCAGTGCAAGCACAAAGATCTTACCTGAAGCAGAACAGGTTTGTTAAACATTTTAAATTATTACCCATGTTTTGTTTTGTTGAGTTTTTTTTAAACACACCTTTTATCTGTAGGTGTGCTAATATTTCCTCTTCTGCCTTCATAGAGGAATGCAACGGGAATTTTAGCCCAGTGTAAATGTCACATCTGTTTCCTCAACACAGCCCACATCGAGCTTTTCCTCAGGGTGCTTTGAAACAAGTGGAACATAAAGTCTGCAAGCTTTTTTGGTTTTCATGCTTCTTTTTTTTTTTTTAAAGGGTGTCTCTACCTCTGTCAGAGGGGGTGAGACAGCCGTCAATACACATACAATACCATTTCAATCTCGAAAGGCTTCTCTTCTCTTCGCTCCCTCTCTCCTTTTATTTCAATGGGGGCCGGATAGTTTACCACACACAGCTCCTCTGGCTTTGTGCCTTTCTCATGGTAATTGCTGGGAGCCGAAAACAGAGTGCAGTGCCAGACACCCACTGCATGCTGAACTGTGCAGAATTGTGATGGCTGTCTATTCAGCAAAGTTCATACGTCATCGCTGGATTGTGAAGAATCAATTCCACCCAATCAATTCCAACTTTGTCATGTATGTCATGCCGTACTTCACGGTAAACAACTCAGGCCCACCTGTCCTCAAGTTTGAAGGTCTGCTGCTCTGTAATAATTAATCGTGTATTAATAAAAATAATAATGCGCTGCTTTTGTTAAACAAAATAAACATAAAACAGGCACCATTGTTTTTCCTGCTTTTACATTATGTAAGCATTGAATGGGGAACACCAAGCTCCAGTCTCCAAATATGTCTACCATTCATGTTGATCCAAATACGATGGACAAAATATTAGAAACACAAGCAGTTCACCACCACACTAAATCCTTGTTCAAGCGGGATCCTGAAGACGATTACAGACTTTATCTTAAAAAGATCTACAGAAAAGTTTCACGGACATGGTTTCAGTAGCTGTAGGCTGGTAAAGAGAACACACTGGTGCATTTAAACAACCAAAAAACAAACATAATTTAAAAGCTCTCAGTGTGTTCACAAGACAGAAATGAAAGGTGGGTCAAAGTGCACGACAGCGTTTTTTTGTTTTGGTTTTTTTTTTGGTTTTTTTACGGACCACAAATGTCCCCTGTGATAAAACAAAAAAAAAAACAGCAGAACAGACACTTTGTGGTATTGATTTGTGGTGCTTTCTTCCAGAGCGCGCTTTGTCAACAACAACAACAACAACAACAACAACAAGAGCACAGCTCAGCAGATTTAGGCCAGGTTATAACAATCTGAACCTGGCCTAAATCTGCAGTATAATAATCTGTGTCGAGCAGGCCACGACCTCCGCTTGCGCGCGCGCGTGTGTGTGCAGGTGCTTGAACGTGCTGGCGGGGTGTCTATTTTCCAGGGGAGCGCGCGGGCAGCCACCGTGGGAACATGACCGCGGTTAGCGTGGTCGCTAAGACAGAGAGGCGAGGGTTACAGACAGCAACCCGCGGAGGTACAACATAGCGTCGGGTCCCAGCGCCGTCCATGAACTCACAGCTGACCGCTCCAGTGGTGGGAAACGGGGAAAATGAGCAAAACCGAGAAAACAAACGATCAACTTACTGTTATGGTAACTTCGTGCTTTTTCAATCGATACTTGAGGCTCTTCATCTTTTAAAGTTGTTGGTCTCCGGTGTTAAACTTTTCCCGCACTGGACAAGTTCATTAAAAAGTGCAAAAGCAATGCTGAAGGTAGTCGCAAAGTACGTTTAATCTGCGCCGTTTTCCTCACAGAGCAGGTTTCACCTGACGCCTAACCTCAAACTCCCGAAACTCCCGTCGCACTGCGACTGACAACCTGTGAGCCAATCAAACCAAACCAACCGCGTTCTGTTCACCTTTAATCCAATGGGCAGTTGCGGAGGGCGGGACTTCCTTGGAGAGTGGCCGCTGGGAATAGTTGGAGTCGTCCTGGGACAGAACCCGGCGTGACGTCAGGATTACCTGAAGAATGAAACACCTACAAACAGTTACCTGTAAACATCGATGTAAACTGAATTTAAAAAACAAAAACAACTATCTGCTGTTTAAACGTCACGATATCCTCTAATCCCCCCTCCTCCCCAGAGTGCCCCGAAACATATTTTAATAATAACTGTGCGTTTACCTGTCATTGCCCTCATGTCAAAGTCCAACGTATTGTATCGAAATGTGCACTTAAACACCTCACAGATTTCACCAGTTTACCCGCGTATGAGCCTATTTGAAGGGTTGGTAACTTTATACCTTGCAAAGAAAAAAGGAAAACAGCAACAACAAAAGCATAAAGCATTTGTAAGAGTTTTTTTTCTTTTGTTTTTGTTTTTTTGCAAGTGCAACACCAGTGATGAAATCGATTTTCCTCTACAAGCTGTTATTTTGCCATTATTTGGAATAGGAATGTTTGGAATTGGAATGCTCTGAAGAGTCTTTAAACGACTCTTTTATGTTAAAGGTTTTTTTAGATACACGACTGAGTTAATATAATATCAAATGTGTGTCACAAGAAAATTGCTTTCTTAGGCCAAAGTTTACAATGGTTGACTGATTAAATATTAAATTATTAAACAGTGAGGGTATGTATCCAAATATAGTCAGTATAAGGTGTTCAATTAGCAGACGGCTCCCTGCTGTCTTCAGTTTACAGTCTGTTTTATGCTTCTTTTCTCTCTCCCTTTATTTCGCCTCATAAAAATATATCAAGTGCATTCAACTGTAAAATCTACAAAGAGGGAAAAACAATAGCAAATTGGGGGAAGGGAAAAGGCTGCCCTCTTGTGGTCACCCAGAGCAGGGTGATTAAGTGAATCAGCCAGTAAATAAACAGGCAAACTAACATAACAGCTGGTATATAGGCTTACTGTTACAATGCTACTCAATAACAGTTAACATCTATTAACAGGTCTCATGAATTATTCCCAAGAGGATTTCCTGGTGTTCCTCTCATATTGTATTTTTCACTGTCCTTAAAGCTACCAAGACTTTATAAGACCGAGACTTTGATGCTGCGTGTCTCTTCCTTTGTCTACGTCCCCATGGCAACACCCTTACCACAGCCACGTTTCCTTGGAGAGCATTTCTCATCCACACATTTGGGTGTGTGCGCACCCGCGTGCAGTGACCTGGCATTAAACGTTTGACTGCAAATCACAGACTGAGGCAGGTGTCATGGTGTCAGCATTTGCTCGCTGTCATGAATTTTTTTACCTGCCACACCCACAGTGTGCCCGCATTCACAGCTCATGCGCAGATAAAAAATGGTAGTGTTTAATCCATGTTTATATGCAGTATTTGTCATCAGTATCATAGGTGGATTAACCTGCAAGAGTCCTTGGAATGGAAGCAGTGTGTCCCTAACACGCTGCTCCTGTGGTTCCATCCTGACTCCAGATGTGCTGTGTACAACTATAATTAAACACAAAAATTTATACAGATGCAACTTTTAAATGTAGTACAGACAAAAACGGTGCTTCAGGACCGAAGTGTACAATTCTGAGGATTTTTTACCCACTTTGACATATCTCAGCCTTTTCTCCCCGTTTCCCTTACTTAAGAATAACTTATTGACAGCCACCCTTCCACTGAGACCATTTCTGATGAGGGTTCAGCAAATATTTTAAAGACACACTGCACAGCATGCACAGACTGCCAAGTGTTGGGTTGATAGCTCTTTGAGAATCACCTTGTTGGTGCAAAAATCCAATTTTGTGTCTGTCAAACTGTGCATTTTTTGGACTATTTCATAAAATCAACAAAATAAATGGGACAAAATGATGTGTTTTTAAGACAGACTGCTAGTAAATGTGGGACTCATTGAATGTTGGGACACAGAAGAATGTATTTTCATAGATACTGGGCATCATTTTATTTTATTGGGTTACTTATTGTTAACGTTTATTTACATCTTCATTATTCTGGACATATGTTTGAAGTATGATTCCCATGAGTGAAGCTCGCACAGGGAAGGGTTGGGGCAGCTTGGGCGTCCTTAGAGTTGGTCATAGAGGCCCTGATTCGTTTAGTGCACTGACAGCCTGCAGAGCGCAGCTCCGCTGACCTGAAGTGCCTGTGTTTCTGTGCAGACAAGTAAAAGCAACTTACAGACTCATATCTTGAAGTTTTTTTTGTCCACCCAAGTGTGCATTATAAAGTATCTAACAATACTTTAAAATAGGTTCTTTGTCTGTAGACAGCACTGGTTCACCCCTGACACTGAGTGACTCTATGCTTAAAGAAACAAACATATCTCTTAGAATGGCCAGGTACAAGGACTGAACTGAACATGAGTAAAAAAGCAGCCACTGCATAAAAAAAGACCTTCAAGAACCCTGAAGAACTATTGTTCAAAGGCACTCCAAAAAAAATGTAAAAAAGCAAAATATAAAGAAATGAGGGGTGGCTCAAGACATCTGCACAGCACTGTTTATGATATGTATATTTCTCTAACTCTCATACAACATTTTTCAGGGCACATTTTTTAGTCCACAGAACTCCATTTACTGACCAGTAAAAGTCATTTCAAATTACAAACACACACCAACATATATAGGAATCAGACTCCATGACTGGATCATGTTTAATAATTCCTTGGTAATTTTCCCATGCTGATGTGGGGATATGTATGTTGTAGTCTGTCATGTGGTGTCAAAATCTGGTTGTAGGCATTTTGGATGTTTTACATTTGCAGGATTAACACTGAAAACTGATGTGCACTTTAACAGTCAACACATGTAATTGAAAGATACTTTGACCCTGTGTCTCGTCAGGTGAATACTAAACCAAAACTTAGCAGGAGGATGGCTCTCTGTTTTCAATTTCATTTCCTGCTGCTGCTTTTAATTATTAGCGACATTTACAGCAAGATGTGTCTTGAAAGGAGAGAGATAAAACCAAATAATTTACTTGATGTGAAAAAGAACGCACAGTAAACGAGCTGGATACTGTGTATAAACATATATATATTTTTTTCTTTTTACAAACTGATACAAATACACAAGATACAGATACAAAAACATTAACTGCTGAACACTGACTGAGGACCAGCATTAAACTGCACCTCATTTGGCCGAAGAAACACCAATAAATACCCACATGCAACAAATATCTATCAGCTGGAATGCAAAAAAACACAGAAGAGCTGCTCTGTGGTAACGGACGATGAAGAACCACACTTTTATATGAAGAAAAAAAAAAAGGTACATGAAAAGGAAAAGGGGGAAAAAGAAAAGTGACTCAGTTAAAAAGGTTTCACAATTTTTTTTTTTCTTCTTAACCGTGACGAGCTCCTGAGACCCTGGCGGGGGAAGCAAATCAGTTCAAGTGAAAAATATCGCCAAAGACTGCGATCCAAAGGGTAGTCACGGATATTTCAGTTGTGGTCTGGGAGAGTGGGATGAGGTGTCTCAATAGGAAAAGAGGTTTGCTGAGAGCTCTCACACAGCTTTGCGGTGGTACTCTGGGGGTGCGACCTCATAGTCGCTGGCACTGAAAAGGGTCGATGAATTCTTTACCAGGTACCTGAAGGAAACAAACAACTGACTGTCAGTGAGGAGGGAAGCAGGAACGCCTGGTGCAGAGTGTGTTGTTCAGCAGTCGTCAGGCATTTACAAAATGACTGTTACAGTAAGATTAGATTGTGGCAGATGCTTTGCTGCCAAATTACAACTCTGAATAAAAGTCGAGTTTAGTTTGATTTTATATGTATGTAAACAAACTGGCAGAAAAAAAAACTTTATGGGAAAGTCATATTGAGAACTCAATGGGAATGTTTATGTTTTCTTATTCTTATAAAGAAAAAAAAAAACCTTTCCAAGCATCAAGGAAATGACTACGCTTTGGATCGGTGATGAAGGCTCAAAGCTAAATCACCAGTGTTTTACTTCAATAAGTCTACAAGTTATATAGGAAATGACAGCAGTGTCTGCATTTTTGTCTACCCTTCGTCTTCTCTATGCAAAACAGTCAGGATAAGAAACTGCAGTAAGATGGTGCATTTAAGAAATTAAAACCTCCATATGTACTTGTGTAGGGGGGAGATTTGTGGCTCAGCAGCAGGGGAGGGGTGGAGCAGTGGGCTCAGGGTGTGGTGTCAGGGTGGGGTTTCGGCTGGTTCACCACTGCTCCCACTGCCCCCTGTGGTTCCCTCCATTGCACTGGGCAAGGGAAATGACCCCTCAGTCACTTTAATTTTAAAACTGTGTAATTTTAAAATATACAGTATATTCTGTGTATTTACTATCTCACTCTTATTGCCTGTTTATGCCCTGTCCTTATCTTCAACGTCATGCTGCTCTGTTGTATCTTAATTGCTCCTTGGGGATAAATAAAGTCTTTCTGATTCTGATTAATGGAGATCTTTCAGGCCAAAACAAAGGCATTTCGCTGGCCCGAGGAAGAGTGGGCACTTGTAATAACCTGTTGAGGTAGTGTGTGGGGATGCATTCACGACCTTTAGGAGCATGTAGTATCTGTGGGTTGTCCGATGCTGCCGTCTGGCAGGGCCCTCACAAGAAGGCCTTGCAATTCACTCTATGAGAGATTTCCCATCAGAGCAGTGTGTTGATGACACCCTAAGCTATCCATTGACCAAGTGATAAGAACTGATGGTCACATGGTGCGCCCTGACACAGTGCTGACCTACACACACTTTGTATTGACTAAGTATAAGCATTATCGAGTGAGTCGCACAGAGGAGGAACACAACCAGGTGCTGGTGCCAAAAAGCTGCCGAGAAACGATTTTCCAAGCGCCTCATTATAACCCCATGGCAGGGCATTTGGGATATGACAAAACTCTGGAGCGAATAATGGCCCGATTTTATTGGCTGGGTGGATTTGCACCCAATTTTCAGATAAGCTTTGGCTGGAGTTGCCAAATTTCATCATTCTTGCTTCCCTCCATTGTGATAACCATGACACACAGGCCCAGAGAGTGGATGTTGCTGCACTACAACAGCGGTTTGCAAATGTGTTCTTCCCCTGCCTGGCTGTACTTCACTCATAGAGCACCATTCTGAAACACGCCTTGGTATGAAGTCATGGCCCTACAGGTTAGGTGTGCATGGGTGCTTTATCCTGTCACACTCCTGTCCTTCAGCTGAAAAGACTTCTATATATAAAAAAGGAGTGTCTCCGCCCTGCAGGTCTTTGTCTGTTCAAGAGGGGAGAGTTCAGAATTACTTTCTCGCTCAATCATGTCTCTCACACAGCCCGAGGCCAACCATATAGACCGTACCATTATCTGCAAGTTATTTTTATGTCACCACTGTATCAGTCAGTGTAGATGTATCCGCAGTGCTGTTCACACATCAAAACAACTAAACATCACGCACAAGTGATCTAAGAGACCATTTTCAATTTGGATTCAGTCCCAAAGAACGGCACGGTACCTCAGTCTGTCATAACGCGCTGCAACGTGTACGGTTAGTCTCAAGAAAAATACTTTCCAGAGCAGAAAATCGATTTCATGGCTTATGTTTTGAGGAACTGCAACAAGCCTGGCTGCACTAATGTGAATGTGAATACAACATGACATTTGAGAATCGGCCAAACATGACATGGAGTGACTGGTGTTGTGCTGGGAGTTAAAAGCTTACTTGAGGAAATCTTGGAGGTAACTGAGCAACAGAGCCAGACTCTTCTCATCCAGGGGAGTGTAGGCCAGCATGGCTCCAATACGAACTGTTGGTGGAGGACAACATACAGCGTATGAGCAGCATTGCATACGGTAAATTTGGAGATTGAGGTAAGATTTCTATAACATCACCACAATCGAAAATTGTGACATAAAGAGGGGAGAAGCCTACTTTTCAAATAAACTGACTGGTGCTACAAACATCTAAATAAATAATACTTTAAATAAACTGCTTAAAAGAAAATCAGGGAATAAGGACCAAGTTGTAATGAGAGTATAGCATAAAGTCAGTTAAATGTGGGATTTTAATCTGGTTAGTTCAGTAGCAGAGGGGGTTGTCTGGTGCTTTGGTGTGAATGAAATTATCAACATGTGAGCTAGAGGGGCAACAATGAGACACCCCCCAAAACAGGAATGGTTTTACAGGTGGAGGCCTCTGACATTTTTCCAGACTGTTAGGAAAAAATAATAAAATGAAATTTCAGCTAATTTCAGTCACGTCTAACAATCCAGATGAGTCATCATAGTTGAAGTAGCCATAAAGCTATTTTGTGTACAATAACTAATACTTCAATCCTTTTACATTGGGACTTCTCTTAGAGAGTAAGCCTATTTAGCACTTTCATCCATGAATTTACAAAACTGCTTAAAAGGTGAACCAGAAATATTGAATTAACTGAACTGAAAGGAGCAGATATAAATTCTGCTGCGACATGTAAAAAGAAGCATGATGATTAGGAACACATACTTTTAATGGGCCTTGTGCCCGTGAAAAGCAAAAAAAATGTTTCCAGCTTCAAATTTTGCCACTTTGTACTGCATTCCTACTATTTTTCTGTCTTTGGAAGTTCTGATCTGACTGGCAACTGCAATTTAAACTTGCACTGAGAGCAAAATCAACTTCTTTGAAGCAACGTTCATGCGGAGGAGCATCACTGCTAATGAGATCTGGGTCTTCAGGTAGGACACTGAGACCAAACAGAGGTCTTCAGTAGAGTGAGACCACTTTTTTCTCTCCCTTTAGCTCAGCATTTATGGAGTTGTGCACCGTGTCCCCAGGTTTTTGTCCTCCCAGGTTAAAAGCCAACGAGGAGTTTAACCGTATCATCCTGTGGTTTTCAGTGTAAATGAAATTAACAGTGGGACGTGCCTTGTTACAGCAACACAATCTTGCTCTCACTTACTCTACCTAGCACATTCATTAGGCTCTCTGTGACTTTGTCTCCTTTTTCTAAAATGAAAATGAAGAGTTATCATTTCATCATGGAGCAGGACTTTTGAACACAAACAGTCTGAGATGCCCAAACAAGCATCTGTGAAGGGAACAGCGACCAAATTTATTTAAGATTTTTTTCTGTTTTTTTCTTGTTACCAAGTGCGAACTTGATTACGCTTCATATAGTTTACAGTGCATCCAGAAAGTATTCACAGTCCTTCACTTGTTCCACACATTGTCATTTTACAACCTTGTTCCAAAATGGATTACATTTTTTTTTTCAATACTGAATAATGACAAAGTTAAAAAAAAAAAACAGTCTGCAAACTTGCATGACATTCAAAACTGAGCTCAGCCGCATCCTGTTTCCACTGATCATCTGTTCAGATGTTTCTACAGCTTGAATGTCCACCTGTGGTAAACTCAGTTCACTGGACATGATTTGGAAAGAAACATAGCTGTCGATATAAGGTCTCATAGTTGCAGGTCATGTCAGAGCACAAACTAAGCCATGAAGTCCAAGTAAGTGTCTGTAGACCTTGGAGACGGGATTGTACTGAGGCACAGGTCTGGGGAAGGGTACAGAAAAACTGAAGCAGCACTGAAGCTTCCACTGAGCACATTGGCCTTCCTCATCTCTAGAACTGGCCTCATGACGAACCTGAGCAATTGGGAAAGAAGAGCCTTAGTCATGGAGGTGACTGAGAACATTCATCTCCCAACAGGACAATGACTATAACCACACAGCCAAGATATCAAAAGAGTGGCTTTATTCTTGGATTTCCTTGAGTGGCCCAGCCAGAGCCCAGACTTTCACACCGCTGAACACCCCTAGAGATCTGAAAATGGCTGTGGAGTGATCCTCTCCATCCAACCTGATGGAGAGGTTCAGCAAAGAAAAGTGGGAGAAGCTCCTGCCAAAGGTGCTTCAAAAAAGTATTGAACAAATACGTAAAAACGTGTGCAAATGTTATATTTTCAATAAATTTGCAAGAATTTTAAAGCAAACTGTTTTCACTTTGTCAATATGGGATACTGTGTGTAGAATTGTGAGGTGAAAATGAATTTAATCCATTTAGGAAAAAGGCTGTAACATCACAAAATGTGGAACAATTGATATGCTGTGAACACTTTCCGGATACACTGTCTATGTTTCACGTGTTCCTACCAAACAGACGCAGCAGGTGCGGTGCTCCATACACCTGAGACATCGGCACATCCGCGTGTTCGGCCAGGATCTCGGCGTACTGCGGCCTCTCAAACTTGTAAAGCAGCTGAGTGCCCAGCATGACGTTGAAGTACTCCCGGATCCCTGCCACCACTTCACTCACAGCATATTCCCTAAGCGAACGGAGAAGAGAAAAGTCACGTATTTGGAGAGATAACTGGAGACAGCAGAGGTCAGCTCTCTATAGAACAGTCAATAGTACAGTTTTGAACAGTTGCATGAGAGAAATCACTGGGCTTACTTCTTCTCAAAGTTGTTTTTGTTGCGCTGTGATGCAGCAAATGTGAGAAAGCACACAAGTACTATTATAAGAAGACTGGTAACAGCAACTGCCACCCCAATAACTGGCTACAGACTATTAAAAAAAAGAAAAAAAAGACTACAAAAACTTACTTATTCTGGTGTATTTTTATTTTGATGCAAAAAGGCAGCATGCTGTGATATTTAAAGAAGTACTCAGATAAAGGATGCCTAAAAAAAAAGCTTTAAAAAAGAGCCTAAAAAATGAGTTAGCGCCCAGTTTCCACAATTCTGAGAGAGGGAAAAAATTGAGTCGTGTATCCAAAATAATTAAAAGAATTCCTGTGGTTTAAAAGCACTGTTTGACTTACTGTGAAGGCTATAATGCACAAAATACACAACTTACAGTTTTAGTGAGATCAGTGGTGTTGTGCCCTTAAAAATATAGTTCAGCTAATGGTATATGTGTTAGTAAGTGTTTACAAGTATCTCTACTAAAAGCAAATTTGTAAAGTGGAAGGAATTTAAGTCTTATGTGGTTGACAGATGCTGTGCCGCTGAACATTTTCATCACAGGATAGCAGTGCTTCCTCACGCCTCCATTATTCTGAGAACGTCAGGATGTTTACTCTTACTTATTGTCCGAGTTTCCTTTTGATTTCTTGTAGTTTGCATAGTCCTCCAAGATGGTCTCTACATTCTTCTTAGCTGGCAGATGAAATAACTAAGCAACAGAAATGTTACACAAGCATTTCCATCAATAAAAACATCCAGACATCAACTCATTTCAAACTCAACTGTAACATTTACTCTCAGTCCTACATTGCAGAGCATCCTGTGCATGTTCTGACTTTGAAATGAGAAGAACAAATGAGCATGCTCCAGATAGTGATTCTGGCTGAAGCGCTCTCTTCAGACCTGTCCATTAGAAACTGCCGTTTAGGATGTGAGTGGTAGCCAGAGGTCCAGCTGTCATTAGCAGTGTTGCTTCACTATATCACGTATTGGGTGGGTCAGTTTGACCCAAGATTTTGGGATCCATTGTGCAATCAGAGACAAACGAGCACAAGTGGTCCAGAACCTGACATTTCTAGCCATCGCATTTCCATAAATATATGGATAAATATGAAGGAAACAAGTGAAACCTGCTGTGATTTTATTTTCACCTGTTTCTGTCGGGTAATGAGGTCCCAGTCATCCACCAGCCAGGGTTTCAACTCCTCTGGGATCTTCACCTTCACTTCCACACGGTTGGTGAACATCTCCTCCTGGATACACACACACACACACTATATGACCTTGCTGCTTTTAAAAGTTTTTGTGTATTTGTGATAGCAAGTGTGGGTTTTACACCCACGGGGTAGACTGGTTCACTCATGCAGGAATAACTGACTCTTTGAACAATTTCACAAGCTTATTGAAGAAATGATACAGGACCAGGATGTTTTGTACTGCCTTGAGTGTGGACCTTCCCCCCCCCCCAACATCTCAGTATTTTCCTCATTCTGCTCACACCTCAAGAAAGAAGCTCAGTTGTTATTCTTATAAAAAGTCCAGTTCCAATACATGATGATACATACACTCTCCACTGTGGGATCAACCCGAGCCCTCTTCTTTCGTGGCCCCTGGGGCATCTCGCCGCTGCTGGTACCTTCACCTGGCCCTGGGGCTAAAAGAAAAGGACAGCTTAAATAATACACAGAAATAAAAGGTGAATATGTTTATTAATAAGTCTCAGATCGCATCAGACTCCATAAATACAACAGTACTTGAACCTCACGAAGCCACAACACCAAAGATCTTTACTATAAGAACAAAAAATATTCTGGAAGAAAGCTACAAAATTCAATAAACATATTTTGTACAAATATTTGACTTACTCTTCTGTTTTGCCTTTTTCACTTTCCTACAATGCAAAAAAAGACATCATGATTGTTCTTATGATGTGACACATATACCTCAAGTTGTCTTAATGTAATTCATTGCTTTGACTACATGCAAGCATATAGCACTTTAATAAATAATATCATCAAGGTTGCATCACAAGAACTGAGTTATTAAATGAATTATTACAGGAGGGAAAAGAAGCTGGACACTCACAGATCAACATTTTTCTGCTGCACAGCAGCAATCTTCTTGCTTGGTGCTAAGCCTCTCATCTTTCCCTCAACATAATGATCCCTGCAGAAAAAAATCAAGAGAGAGCACAATTATAGAAATGTATCTAAATTACTTTTACTGACCACAGTTGAGTTGTAGTGATGTATCACACCGTGGTGATGCAGACACGGCCTTGCTGTTTGATTGGGGGTGGGGGGGTATTTTAGAAATACACTGTCTGCAGCACTGAGTTAACTGTTTCCAAAGTGGCCTCACAGTGTAGCAGTTTACAAACAAGTTAAAGATCCCTGGGTCGATTCTGGGAGGAGACACAAATCACCAAGGGCATCTGGCATTGAAAAAACTGCTAACATGCATAGCTACCTGCTGTGTAGCCTGTTTACAAAACACTCTGTTCCATTTGCAGACAGTGGTGTGTGATGTGGAGTCAGACAGTGTTCTCGTGGCACGTTGCTCAATAAGTTGTACAATCTCTTCTGGAAAAGTAAAAACCACCCCGCCGTTTTCCCCTATCAACATAACTTTATGTGTTAAATATGTCTAATATTACGTATCATGTATATCATATGGCAGAACTGACAGTAAAGTTCATGTTAATCACAAAAACACATATCTAATGATATCTGAGATTTCTGAAAATATCTGAAAAACAGAATAAAGAACGTTCAGCCTTTACTTAAAGGACTTTTCTGCTGCTCTTGTGTACAGAGAACAATATTGGTGCTACCTACACATTCAGTCTCACACTGACGTTTCCTCATTTGCACCATAACATACACAGACTAGAATAATCCTAATAAGCTTCATAAGAATCCATGTACACACTATATTTATATACACTGACAGTAACAACTATACAACTGTATGTAAGCTTTAATATAGCTTGTGTAATTCATATTTATACTTTGATACTTCATACTTATTTTAACATATGCATCTCATATTCTTATAGCTCTCCATTTTATCTTATTTTTGATTCATTCTTGTTCACGGGAAAACAAAAATGACTTGTAAATACTACGGAACTCGCAATAAAGCTGATTTTAACATTAAGATATCACAAAAACAGTATAGTGAAAATCTGATTATATACGTATGTATCCACACAAAAATACTGATCAATATATTGATATAGCATTTATTTATTTATTTTACCTCCCAAGAATCTGTAATTGGATGTGATTGGGCAGACCATATTGTGTAATGTCAACTCTAAAAGCTGCAAATTCTAAATTTATCCAGTCAGGCACAAAACAGAGCACAAACGGCCCCCTACTTTTCTTATCGCTGCTTTTCTTTGACAGAAACTCTAAAAAGCTGACTGGACATTAGGAAGAACCAAAAACTCACAAAAACACTTCTTGGTCATGTCTGTGTGGGAAGAGGTTAACTCACTGATTGGCCTTTTGAAGCTCTTTTTGTTTGGCAAGGTTGCTGTCCACATATTTGAGAACTCTGCTTTCAGGAACCCATTCATCCCAGCTGCAAAGGAAGAAAAAACCCATCACAGATTCTCAAACGTCATCACAGTGTTATAATTCCTATCCAAATAGACGCACAGAGAGAAATGTCAGCCTATATTCAACTCAAACTGCTCACTTTTTGTTCCATCCGCTGTAATGAATGAAGTATTTAATCTGCTTATCCTTTACGTTGATCTTGACACACTGTAAAAGCGAGAAAACACACAGGCCTTGGATCAGTTTATTTTTAACTGGGAATAAATGAGTAATAAGACCCTCATAAAGTATCGGGACAAACCTTTGCTTCATAGAGCAATGGCCCGTGAAAGCACAGGACTCTTTCACCTACGAGGAGGGGAAAACTAATGTCAAAAGCACGTTATGATGTTCATTACACCCACAACTAATGTAATCAAACGAGCCGCTAACGCAGAGCATGAACAGCAAAGCTAGCTAACAGTTAGCCTTCCGTTAGCGTCTGTAAAGACTCCAGCTTGAGCTAGCTTTACTGTATGCGCTTCATTGCGATGTTACGTCAACGTAAGCTATGTTTTCATTGATATCTGAGCTGTATAAAGCCTCTTTCGCCTTCCCTAGGGATCACTATCGTCGAGCTGCAGCTGCAAGAACAACAACAACAAACCCGCCCCCTTCCAGCCGCTAACTGGGCACCATCGGTGCTTTTTTTCCCCCTACCGACCTTCTTGAAATTTCGGTTTAGGGTCCTGTTTTGGCGCCATTCACGGAGTCAACTGTTCGGACCTCTGAATGATTAAATTCTTGCATTGCCAGAGTCCATTTCTTCCAGGCACAAACACCTCCGACATTGGAGCCAAAGCCAGGGGAAGCCGAGAATGGCCTGCCTGCTGCGGGTCACCTGACCACCGTCAAGCCCCTGGGGGCGTGCTGTGTTCATATGCTCCTCGTCAAACTCGTACAGACAATGATTTTCTCTGACTTTCAGGCAGACTCAAGATTGCATATTCATAAATATGCAAATATCTACTACTACTACTCTCACACACACACACCACTAACATCCAAGAGGTGATTTGTCTGCAGGAAAAACCCAGCCCCTTCAGTATTAGTAGCGTTTAAATTTCTCAAGGTGTCATTAGGGGAGACTGCTCATTTCTTTCTATGGTGCTGCAGTTGAATAATTTCTAATGCTTACCAGTGTGGTATCCAGACTGTATGCCATGTAAGGAGTGGTAAAAACAGAGGGAAAGATTACTGGCTGCCAGTTGCTATCCCTAGAGGGCATTGCCACCTACCTCAAATGAGCACAAAACATCATCAGGGGCAGTGCTCACCCAGTCACATGCTGGCTTCAACCAGCTGTAGGTTTTCAAGTTTTAATTTTTTTGGTCTTATATAGCCACAAACCAACAGATTCTAAACATCGTAAATGTAGTTATATTTCTGTCAAGCAACAGACAGAAGAAGGATGAAATTTTTGTGCCCTCAGCGTGCCAGGAGTTTTTAGCCTTTTCTGGCTGGCAAACAATTTTTGGGCCACATATTTCTCATGAACTCTGAGTTGTCACACTGTAATCACAACATCATATGAGATATATGTATTTTTAATTGCAAGGATAAAATGTGCCAAATTCTAAGTGTTTTCATTTGCAGGTCAGGGAAGTTCATGCAATACAATACTGCGCCAAAGTCCTGAGTCACTCTCATTTCAGTGTACTAGTAAATTATCAAATAGGTGCTATTATTTGTTGAAACATGGACAAAGATACATGTAAATATAGTAAAGTCAATATTTGATAAGACCACCTGTATTCTTTATCAAATCCTGAACTTTCTTAATCAAGCTACATTAAAGTTTCTTTAAATAGTTTCTTCTATCAATGCTGGCTGCCTTTTGTTCTGTTCTCTGATGATTTAAGATCAGCCCACGCTGCTTCAATAATGTTGAGGTCCGAGCTCTGGGGAGGCCAATCCATGATTGAACTTGATTGGCATACCTATCCAGGTATGCTTTGACTGCACTGGCAGTGTTTTGGGGATCATTATAATGCTGAACAAGCTGTTGCCAATCACACCATCTCCAAGTAGTAGATGGAAATCTCATGGTACTTTTCTGTGTTCATTATGCCATCATTTTGGAAAGCTTCCTAAACACTGCTGGTTGAAATGCAGGCCTAAACCACTACACAGCCTCCGCCGTCCTTTGCAGATGGCTGTAGACACTCACTGTTGTACTTCTCTCCAGAACTTATCCGTACATATTGATGATGAGAAAAGTTTCAAATCTGGATTCATCACTCCATAATACCTGTTGCTACTGACTTTCCAGTTGCAAGTAGCTTAACAAACAAAACATTCCTCTGAAAATAGTCCAGATCAAGGACTGGACTGAAAACGAGTGAAAAACAGCCAATGTCCAAAGAAAAACTTTGAAAGACCTTCAGAAATCTTGGCAGACTGTTGCCCAAGAACACTTTAAAAATGACAAACCGTTCTGGCTCCTGGAAGCAAAAATTCTTCCTGAGAACCAGCCTATCCTTTTTAATGGTCTATATATATTTTTGACTTATTTGAGCTATCCTAATAAGTCCTGTTGTGCTCAGTAGAGGACATTCTGGCCTTTCCAATGATATCTTGTGTGTTTGTGCTTGTGTGCTTCCTGAATACTATTGTTGTTTATATTTACTGCAGGAAGAAACAGTAAAAACGGTGTTTTGTAAGGAAAACCTCAAAAGTGCTCTCCACCTGTGAGCAAAAACAAAACCAAAAAACCCCTCCCTTTCCTATTGGTCGAAAAATGTACCATGTCACCAATCAAAAAAATGATATGGCAACAAGGCATTTAGTTGTTTAGGGAGGGGGGACGTTTTAGGAGCAGTGTTGGTCAAGTTACTTGAAAAAAGTAATCAGTAACTAATTACCGATTACTCCCCCCAAAAAGTAATCCCGTTACTTTACTGATTACTTATTTTCAAAAGTAATTAATTACTTAGTTACTTAGTTACTTTTTTAAAACACGATTTACAACCTGAATAGGTGATAAAGCGATAGATCTTTCAGCCCAATTCTACTTTTTCT